AATATTAGTAAGGGTAAAATTATCTCAGTATTTTTGTCTTATATAAATTTTCCAATTTTTCCATCTCAGAATGAATTGTGCTATAGCAATGTATTATTTGCTTCATATTATATTTTCATTATACAATTGTTTGTAAAATGAATTAGAAAGGGGGGCAGGGAAATTGCTATGCAAATCAAGTCTTTACTGGGAAGTAAAAGAAACTGTAGTGTAAGGAATCCACACTTAATGTGGTAGCCTGAGGATGAAAGAACTCCAAACAGACATGATGACTTTCCCATTTTGGTTCATTTTTAAAATAATACTGCTTCAAGAAGTAATGGGGAAAGAGGAGCATGAAAAACATCAAAAGCCCTCAAGCAAGCCAGGAAAGAACTTCCTCAGACTTGCCTTAAGAGAAATTAAGCAAATAAAGGAAAACCACAGGCTATCTTAAACCCCCTTTTCACAGCTCTACCAACAACCTACTTCCTCTTCAGTATCCCTAGGTTTGCCACTCTGGGGCTAATTCCCTGCATTTTCTATGCTCCAACTATATGCTTCCCTTGGAATTCATCAGAATTTTAAAATTTAAGATTTTAATCAAATTCTACATTAAAAACGCTCATAAGGTATGTGAACAGAAAATTAATAATATGTTGTGAAATGTGAGGTTGCAGTTAAAAGAATTAAGTCAAATCCAGAACCCAGCATGAGAGCATCACTACCCCAAAATTACTCCCTCTACATTCCCAGCACTTAGGTCTTGACTGGCTGCCGGAAGTCCTGGTTCGTCCTCCCACTCAACCAACCCTACCCAGGAGTTCTGAGGAAGTTGGAACCACAGCTGCAAATGACCTGAGTGAGTTAGTAAAAACCAGAGGGAGTCATCACATTTTTTAAAATGCTGATAGCAGTAACAGGCCAACAATGAAAAAGTTTATATCTACTCAATAGTTCCTAGAAGGTGCCTTTGTGCCAAAAAAATTCTTTCTCCAATCACTGAATTTATGGAGGATTTTGTTCACTGCAAATGTCCCCTGAGAAAACATGCCATCTCACATAGTTCTATATTTTAAATATTTATCAAATCTTAAGTCCTTGGGAGAAATTTCAAATGAGCTTAGGTTTTTTCACCAAAAATTAGCTACTAAGTTAACCAGGGTCCTGTTCCCTAAAAGATCTATTGGAAAACCTACTGGGTAAATTTCTGTATGTTCACTGTCTTCGGTAACATTTGAAAACTTTAGTTCATACTGTGTGTAAGCTTAGCTCCACCCTAGACTTACAGTCTCTTTTGGGGCAGGGACCAGAACAGTTTTTGGCATGCCAACCTGCACTGTAGCCAATGGCTGAGCATTTGGTAGAAAATGGGTCTTAAAATGTTTTAAAGCCATGTTTTATTACTATTCTGTTGGTGTTTGTTTTTGTTTGAAAACAGAACAGACCTTATTTGCTCAAGCAAAGAAAATCAGATTCTGTTCTTTACTATCTTAAAAGAAGGCTTGACTGACCACTTGGGAGCGAGGGTCTCACTTTATTCTTCTCTACTTTCTCCCTGCTCCTTACTCCACCACACATCATAGCACACGTTCAATAAAAGGCCCATTGCAGATGCTTCATAATTTGCACTTAAACATAGAGTTCTGCCATCTTGGTCATTTCTGTCATTTGCTTTGACTCCCCTTTCTCATTTTGCCTTGACCTCCAAACAAATCACATATTGAAGCATCTTTGTAGACTCCAACTCAAGAGCTGATTGAAGACAGAACCCAAACCAAAAGCTGGCCACAAAGCAACAGACCTCCCTCCTTAAAGATAAAGGTTATCTTTATAGCTAAAGATCCTAGAGGATTTTGTTTTGTGGGATTTTTTTGGCCTTTAAGAATTTTACCTTTTAGGTAAGATATGCAGCTTGTTGCATACTCTGAGTACTGGATATGTAAATTAAATGTTTATACAACAGATGTAACTAAACCACAGAATGTACCTTAACAGATAAGCTTTAACTTCAAACATTTTAGAATAAGTAGTACTTATTTAAAATTTCAGTGATAGGAAGAATGCTTGAAATATCGTCATTCAAGCACAGTGCTGCCTTTTATCAAAGGAGCAGAGAAAGATTATCTTTTTCTTTGTTTAAAAAATGCAGTATTATATATGTGTGTGTGTGTGTGTGTGTGTACTGCCTAATTTTAAAATAAAATGTCCTTCTACAACTGTTAAAATGTATTTTAGTTACTTTAAAATGCCATGTGGAATAACAATTTCTGTATCTGTGATTCACTCTCAAATAAGATTTTGCCATATCGCCAATTCTTCTGTTTTAAATGGTAAGTTAAAAAATATTAATTTCAAAGTTCCTTAAAATTTACAGGCAACATATCTTTAAAAAAAAACAAAAAAACAAAAAACTTAACCTTCAGTATTATGACCTGTTGTATGGGTCAGAGCTCAGGCTGAGTCTGAGGAAGCATTAACCAAAAACTTTTTTAAATACTGTTAAACAAGTCAGTGTTCCCCCAAACAAAAAACATACAACTCGACACCTTCCTGAAACTTTCTCATAATAGATATGTACTCTATCTCGATTGGGTTGTGAGTTATATAGATAGTACATATCTTTCAAAACACAAGCCCTTACTATGATCTATGTATTTCACTGTATGTAAATTATGTTTAATAAATTGACTTTTAAAAACTTCCTACAAACCATACTTCAAATACGTCATGAGTAATCCATCTCAGACTTGAATTTTTGTTAATTAATAAGATCCTAAAGTCAAAGTGGGATCTCCTTTCCCAAAGTCACTGACACCCCACTACTTTCTAGAAACTTCCATCTGAAATACTCTTTCACAGTGCAACTGCCCCAGATATTAGATTTCACTCACCTCAACAGACTGAGAAGGCATCTTCAGCTTGGTGAGCTTGGCTTTGGCAGGCACTTTTAAGTCTGTTTTTTCAAAGGTCTGTTGCCGGTAGTCCTCTGGTGGCCGTTTCAGTTCAGGGGACTCACTAGGAGCCTGATCTTGACCGTCCATGGGCCGGACATAAGCGGTAGGTTTTTGCTGCATTGTGATGCATTTTGAGGGGAGAGGAGGTTGGGGGAAAGCCTGAGAAGGTGCCTGGGGAGGGGCTACTCCAAGGCTGGCGACTGCCACCAAACTGTCTTGAGGGATATCTCTCTCAAGGGCCTTTACTGTGAGGTCCTTTGGAGATTTGGCCCTGTAGAAGCCTTTACTATTACTGTTACTGCTGTGAACCTTGTTGCTTCCTAGTGTCCTGGGAAGAGTCTGCTGGTTGGAATGTATAGGTGACAAAGGGGGCATGGGGGAAGACAAAGAGGAGAGTAAGGGAGAAAGCTCCCTCGTTGGAGCTGAGTCCGTCAATGAAGCACAGTGTTCTCCTCCACCAGCTCTGCGGTCACCTTTTTTGTGATGATTAGAGCCACAACCCTCCTGACCAAGGCGATCTTGGGTCAGATGCTGGCTGTCTGGTGGACAGTAGCTTTTGACATGGAGACTTGACATTGGTTCCATTCTTGGCTGTGCCATCTTTGGATTGTGGCTAATGTTACCAACAGGAAGTGGGCCAGAGGCAGGAGTGTTAACAGGCTGGTGGTGGACACTAGTATGGAAGGAGTGGGATGGAATGCCGCTCCCCTTCTCAGGAAACAAAGGATATCTCTGTTTCCCCAGCCTATTCTCAGAAGCATCCGAGTGCTGGGGGTGGGAGTTGGTACTAAGGAACTCCTTCACTTCTTCATAATTTCCCAACATGTTCTGTAGGCGACTAGACAGCTCATCGCCTTTTTCAGTCTGAAAAAAGAAAAGGGGAGTTAATTTTTTTTTTTTTTGATCTAGGAAAAACAACCATTTAATAAGCCAGGTTATGTAATGCCAATAAAAAAGAAACACCCCCAATTTAACATGTAACATGTAGAATTTAACAGGCTATGTAAACTCAGTTCCCCTGGTGAAGTCTGACACAGACACATATTACTACATACAGGAAAATAACATTACAAAAGAAAACCACAAACTTTGGTAACTTTTACAAACAAGATTCAGAAAAACTTTATATCTTGTTTTTAAAAACAATCTCTAGGACATGCCGTCTTATTTTCACAGTTGTGACCCTTGTTTAAACTCACATTCATCAGACAGCTAAATATTGTGATAAGCCAGACTTTCACCTCCTAGTATGCAATAAATACCTTGTAAGGCTCTCCAAAAAGGGGGGTCTTTTCAGCAAATGCCTCTTTCTCTTGGTGAGCTTCCTGGTTGCGTCTTTCCTTCTCTCTAATTCGAAGCAGGTTTCTGTCCTCATTGTACAAGCTGCTTCAAGACGCCATGGAAGAACAAAAATAATAAAACTTATCAGTATCCAAATTTTGTTCTTCACATGTACATGTGTGACAGAGGCAAGAGCAAGGGAGGTTAAAGAAAGCATAAGACTCTCAACCCACTCCTAGAACATGGTCACGGTCAAAGGGCTGTGACCCTCCGGTTCCTGGACCAGGCCCCAGGAACCTGAGATTCACTCTGTATTACTGCCTTCCCCGCTCAAGACTGATCCCAAGCTGAACAATCATTTATAGGCAGCATTGCAACTGAGACCAGACTAGTGATATTTTTACTTTTCACTTGTAAAATATAAGGCAGAGGTGGAAGCTTTTTATCTGAAGAAGTCAGCAGGATATGAACTTTAAAAAGGCTTTTTTCCTGGATTGGCATTGTACATTTTGGAAGATTAAAATCAAAAGGCTTATTTCCTAATTAAAAGATTACCAGGCACCCAAAACAGCATTTACTTCATTCTCATCCAACTCTGCTTGGACTGTCTTGGCATGTAAAGCCCAAAAGATAATTTTTATTTCTCATTTAAAATGTCATGGAGGGGGAAATCCTATTTAAATGTTGGCTCTACCAACTGAGATGTCTTATAATCTGACTGTGTCATTTAAACCAAAAACATACCCTAAAAGTCACTGATCGTGGCACCGAAGTTAAAATGCATCAAGGAAAAGACAAATTCAGAGATAAAAGTCAAAAAAGATATCCTTTTAGTCAGCATACAAGCCAAAGGGGCATGCTTCATGTTAGCAACACAGGCCACTCCTCCTAAGCTCCAGATGTGACAGAAGGACACTAAGACTTCTGTCGTCACAGACTTCTTCTAACTCAATCTTTCCCCAGTATTACTCGAATAAACAGGAAAATATTTGATCTTTCAGCCAATATTACATGTAACATTAGAAATTCTAGCCCTGGTGGCACATGAGTTAAGTCTCAGCACTATCAAGCTTTCCACAGCCATTGCAGCACATATCCGTTCCCCCGGCCAGGGAGGTGACCTGCATGGCACAACAGACCTTTCCTATTTGGCACGCTGCTCCCCTCAGCAGTGTACTTCGTGGATCTGCCTGTTCTGCTCCCCACTCTGTCTCTGGTAAATTCTCTTACCCTCTGCTCCTCTAGCCTATACCTGTTCTTATGTGCATATATAAGTAAATCTTTGGAAAAAAGAAAATAATTCTAGTCCTGATGTCACACATTCCCGCACTTCACTCACTTCAGGTCTCTCATGTGTTTTCCTTCTACCTCCGACAAGAGCCTACTCACAGTTCTCCTTCCTCCCCCAACATCTTGTCCTCCAATTTATCCCTGTCATGGAAATAACTCCAACCTAAGGCCCTGGTTCTCAGGTCATTAACCATATTTTTTAAGATTTATTCATTTATTTGTACAGAACTGGGGTACAGGCCAGAGATGTTGAGGGTGAGAGGATTCACCAGAGACAGAGTGGGGAGCAGAACAGGCAGATCTATGAAGTACACTGCTGAGGGGAGCAGCGGGCGGGTCAGGAGAGGTCTGCCGCGCCATGTGGTCACCTCCGGTGGTCACCTCCGGGGCAGGCGGGAATCGAACTCATGAGAAAGTGGCTTAAGCCTCTTGTGTTGTGCTTTAACCCGTTGCGCCACCAGGGAGGGCCTCATTAACCATATTTTAAGTTAAGAGCTTGATGGCTCTTTACTGTTGCAAAATAAACTTTAAATCTTAATTTTACATTAAAATTCCTCAGTAATCTACACTAAAAATTATCCCACTGTCTCCTGATAGGCCTGCCACATGCATTCTATTTGTTCTCAGTCATACCCATTCTCCACACATGCCCTGTGAAAAAGGGCAGTTCTTAATCTCATTCCACACCAGCAGCCCCTTTTACTTAAAGAAAATCAATTTTTCCAGGACCACTATGATTTTTTTTATGAATACCTCTATATTAAATCACAACCAAACTATTCCTTAACTACTTAGTGATATACAGGATTTGGAAATTTTCATTCTAATCACACATTCTGATCACAAATTTTCTTGGCCTCTCTCTTAACCACCTCTATTCTTCCCCAATTTTCATTAATTCTTGGGAGTGATTCAAACATTGCCTTTTCCAAAAGGTTCCTCAAATGCACCAAGGATGTGCCGATTTAGCCTATCAATTGGGTCTCTCATTTCCCTTCTCCCCTAACATATTAACTGGGTCATAAAAGAACCTTTCATATTTATCACTTTCCTGGGGCATAAGTATGGTACTCTGCATAGAAGCTAACTATTACACATTTTAAAATTTAAAAACTATTTCAGTGAATACAATATATGTAAATAAACTTGCAATCTCTTTAAACTGAACTTTGGAAGACATGTACAAAAACAATTAGAAAACTATAGAGGCCTACCTGGTGGTGCAAGGGGTTATGTCTCAGCACCATGAAGCCATAGGAAGCTAACTGCAGCATGAGTTCGATCCTGGCCAGGGAAATAACCAAGCAGCAGACCTCTCCTGTCTCACCCACTGCTCCCCCTCAGAAGTGCACCTGTTCTGTTTCCTACTCTATCTCTTTGTGAATGCTCCCCACCTCTGACCTACACCTCAGCTCTTGCATGCATGCATAAATAAATAAATAAAACAAAATTTAGAGTATGAGTAGAAAAAAAAAAAGACATAGGAAAAAAAAGTCTTTTTCCATAGCTGTTCAACATTGGGAATTGGGAGGGAGGGGGGGTAGAAAAGCAATCACATTCACCCGGCTGAATGTGATAAAGAATGATTTATCATGTCATATCAAAAACTTAGCTCTGCTTTATTGTTTTGTTTTAAAGATTTATTTATGCTTACAGAACTGGGGTACAGGCCAGAGGTATGGTGGGTGAGAAGATTCACCACAGACAGAGTAGGGAGCAGAAAAGGCAGATCAAGAGAGGTTTGCCACGCCGTGTGGGTCAGCTCCCTGGCAGGGGATTGAACTCGTGCTGTAGTGGCTTCAGAGAACTTCATAATGCGGTGCTTTAACCTGTTGTGCCACCAGGAAGAGCCCAATTCTGCTTTTTAAGATATATTTCTACCTACTACTGAGAAGTCGCTACTTTTGTCTCTGAAAAAAAGTAATGCCAAGTGGGAAATTCTTGGTCCCAGATTGAAAAGTGAGGGTATGAATAGGTTGCTCAGAGACTACACTTAATTTTCCTTTCAACCTGTCCACATACATCTTTAAGAAAAATTACACTAAAACATTTCCAAATCAGCCCAGGCCACAGCCCCAATGAGGTTTCACCACATTTGCAGATTTCCATTCCAAAACATTTTTTAAAAACTTCAGGAAAAAGCAAGAAGAACACAATTTACAAAATTCTTAACACTGGCATTATTGTAGGATCCAAAAAATCAAGATGCTTCACACAGGAAGGAAATCCATACTAAATTAATAATTCTCGTTAATTAAGATTTTACTTCATTATTTTAAAAAATTTAAACCCACATCAAGATGATTGGCAGACATATATGCCTATTGAGAAAAGTTTTGAACACCTTTTTTTCTCATTCACCATGACCCTTCAATGGAAAAACCTAAAAATAGTGACATGAGGAAAGACATGAGAGGCACTCGTAGGCTGAATTTTATGAGGTCTAGACTTAGTGAGAAAATTTACTCCCACCCACACTGTCTGTTGGGCAACTCCCCTTAGGTGTCACTCAGCAAAACTCCTGGGCAGAGCCGAAGCAGAGCAGATGAGGCAGGAAGTGGCCAGTCAACCTTTCCAGTCCTCACTCTCCTGAATTGTCTAGCTTCTCTGGTTTATTTAGCTTTTATTATTTCAAGTTTGCAATAGCTTTAAAGAATGTTAAAGTCCATAGGCAATTTTTTTCACGAATTATCTTCTTTTTATTGCTTCCATTTTGAAAATGGAAAAAAATGTAAGTATAAAAAAGATGAACATAATTCTCAACAGGAGTAAACTAAACCATTGTTCAGTCTCTAGATATCATTGTTTTTAAAGCAAGGTGTAAGTAAGGGGATGGGGTAGGTGGAAATTTTTTAAATGAGGGGATTATAAGAAACAAATATTCTACACAATCCACAACTCTAATTTTGAATAATTACAAGTTGACTATCACTCCATTTAATTAAAGGTGGAGTTTTCTTCTAGGTAGAAGCAAAACACATCCACTCCTCACAGGATAACCTCATCCCAACATCAGCCTTGTCAGACTTTCTCTTAAGTACCACACAAAACAGTTACACATTCTTTCACCGATTCCTACATAGATAGCACTTTACATTACACGAGAGGCTCTCTAGCTTTCGTGAACATCAGAATCACCCTCAAAGGCTTGTTAAAATTCAGATTGCAGAGACACACCCTGAATTCTGATTCGATAGATCTGATGTGAGACCTGAGATAAGTATTTTAACAAATTTTCTAGATGGTTCTAAGATTCTTCTGGGTCTTATGGGTTGCTGTAGGCTAACCAAAACCAGTGACAGTACTGCCAGCTATACATGCAATACCGCCACCTCTGTCAGCACTGATTTAGGCACAGCACTAAAGTATCCCAGCTATTTTTGCAACTATGTGGGAGGGAGATTATTAACCTCACTTTCCAGGTTAAAAAAAAAAAAAAGTTCAGAGATTAATTTGCTATTACTGAATTCAAATGCTGACCTGCCTGGCACCAAAGCTTGTGTTCTGAATCAGACTTCAGCTAGCAAAGTTTTCTGGCTGTGTTAAATAGGGCAACCTCAAAGAAGGAATTCCAAAGTGTGTTAATTTACAATCACTCATAATTTCTCCTAATTCCTTTGTCTCAAAAAGGCACACAATTTGGATATTATCTTGGGTATTATCCAGACCAGTTGAGCAATCTCAGAGTCACAACATAATTTGACTAAATGTCACCACATTTGAATTGACTTGGACTTTGACCAAGGACCTAACCAGAGGGCCCATTGAGAGATGAGTGGCAACAGCATGAAGTTGTTCTTCAAGTAATAAAAACT